CCAAGAAACTAGGGAGGGTCCCTTCTGAACTGCTTGCCCCACCCTCATTCCTGCTGCAGGCTAAGCTGCCTTTTATCTAACTGTTCCCTTGGCTGAGTTTCTTCACCTCGTCTCCCAAGATCATTCCCACATACCACTACACCACCTTCCCTAGTTCTCTGGAAAGTAAATGCAGGGGAGAGGGGAAGCGCTTTCAGACTTGCAAGATTCTGTTACTGTAACTTACAATAAAAGTAGCATTAGTATTCATGATTTTGGTTTCCTAGTCTGGACGACTACCAAGGGTTGACACTAGAAAAGCATGAATACAGTAGAGAATAATGTGCTGAAAACTAAACCAGTGCTCCATAGAAAGCAGTTCAGCGATCTGCCATATCTACCTTACCCACACACTCTTCCTCAGTGTTGCAATTCTAATTCCTACCTGTTACTGGGGCTGATCTCACCCAAATCATGACTGAGCTTAATACTTAAAAAGTATTCATTGCCTAATTAAATGGTCACCAGTTTTTCTACAAACGATAGCTCCCAAGATCTTTTGGTGGATCTGCAACTGAGTAATGTAGATACATTGTCAGTTGGCAATAAGTGATCTGAACGCTCCCTTCCAACTAATTATATTTGTATTAATCAAGCATCCCAAGTAGGCTTTGTTCTCTGGTTCCTTAGAGGTTTTTGCTGAAGCTCCTCTTCAGGAGTCAGGAGTGGGTAGTTTTTGAGAGATCAGCAATCATAACGTGGCCTCCCAATCTTCCAGAGGGTTGCTTGGAGCAGGACACTGGGATGCTATTCCAGGAAGTCACATTTTTGGATCATTTTTCAGCTCTACCACTCTAAGATTATGGTGCCAAAACTGGACAGCAAAACAGCCAATTTTCAGCTTTAAAAAAACAACAACTTAAGGCTGGGAGGCCTTAGGGGAGGGGGAACCATTGCCATTCCTATCTACTCAAATCTGAAAAATGGCCCAAGATTGTGATAGCAGAATGGGCCAATTTTGGTGGCTTTGATTTGAAGCTGTATGTTTGAGGGAGTTCTGGTTGGGAATGGAAGTGGTCTTCCTCCTACTTTCTTTCTCCCCTTTGATTTGGAAAAAAAGAAAAATGGGTGAACATTTATTCTTTTGCTGCCCAATTTGACAGCATCATCTTAGGGAGCTGGAGGGCCACAAATGAAGCCCTGTGGGGTATCTACAACCTGTGGCCCACTCCCATCTCCATTTCAGTATTTCCAAGCTCACACCCATGTGAGTAGGGAAGAAAATGATTATTTACAAATGACATTCAAATGATTTCTTTAATAAAATACCACATCAAATTCTGTATAATAACATCTGAATAGGAAAGCATGGTCTGGATTTTCTATGCATGTCAAGAGGCACGTTGCAAAGACTGTGCAGCGTGATTTTCACGTTGTATTTTGAAAAGCTGGAGTACAGCATTTTAATATTTTACTAATGAGGACCTAAATAGACTCACTCTTTGTATAAGTCACAACAAAGTTTCTTGAAACATGGACACTGTCCTTCAGGTTAGAAATGATGTTACAAATCTACAGAAACCATGAGAATAATCACAATATTTGCTTACAGACCATTTTACAGAAGGAAGAGACTACTTTAACATTTGATTGTATGGTATATTAGGGTTAATTCATGTTTTACCGATAACTAATGTTTTTTTCTTTGTTATATTGGGATGTGTGTATGTGTGTGTTCCTAAACACTAATAAAATATGAATTGATCAAAGATATCATAAAAACAGAGTTGGAAGGCTCTTGTAGGCCATGTAGTCCAACCTTCCACTCAGTTCAGGAAATCCCTAAGAGATGGTCCAGCATCTGCTTGAAAACCTCCAGTAAGGGAGAAGCCACTGTCTGTCTGTGTCAGTGTTCCTCAACCTTGGCAGCTTTAAGATATGTGGACTTCAACTCCCAGAATTCCCCAGCCAGCATGGGTTCTGGGAGTTGAAGTCCACAGATCTTACAGTTGCCAAGGTTGAGAAACACTGGTCTACATAAGTGATTTAATTGTGAATTGCTTTTACCACTGAAGCATTTATCTTGATTTTTAAGCAAAGTCTACTTTCTTGTAGAATGATTTTTGAGGATATGTACATTGCCTTCCTTCAATATGGTTAATCCTGAGTTTGTACTGGCCCAGTTTTTAAGCTGAAATCTTTCTTGTCTTTAACTCTACTGAAATTGAATCAGTACAATGCAACTTAAATGAAAACCATATGTAACATATGCAGTATTCTAAATTGTCAGATTTCATTCTTCTCATCAATTAACACTGAGGTAAATTTGAATGACAAAACTTCACTTGATCCTTGAATGTGGATAATTTATTCCAGTGGCAAATTGTCATCACAGTCTGCTCTCCAACGATTTGATCCTCAGAAGAAGCAATGGCAAAAACAGCAGCTTATATGCAAATATGGTCCAAGGATTATTTGAAACCCAGCGAGGAAGTAAGACAGTGGCGGAAAACCTGTGGTTCTCCTGTCAGGATAAACAGCCATTCCCACAGGCGCAGCCAGCATGGCTGAGAATCAAGAATGCTGCAGCTGTAGTGCAGCCCTTGGTTTATGCAGATGTTACCATAGAATAGACTGAATGGATGCTGGAGATGGAATGCGGTCATGCCAACCAGCTGCCCCTCCATTTATTTTCCATGTAACTTCTGAAATGGCAATGTGTACACACAGCCACTACATTGAGATTGTATGAACACTGATTATGTTGAATGTGCACTGGAGAAAGAGACAGGAAGCATGCTCCTGATCCTGTTTTTAATGTGTTTTGTTCCCATATTTATGTTTAGTTTAATATAATATCTGCATGCTGTGTCAGTAATATATATTTACCACTTAACCTTGGCTTATTGAATATATCATAATAGGCTGGGCGGGGTTCACATATTGTTAAGCCAAAGTGTGCCTGTTTGTCATTGGCTTAGCATATTGTGTGAACCAAGCCACTGTGACTTAGGAAACCATGATTAAGTAAACCATGCCTTAGTGTGATGTGTAAAATTAACATTAGCATCTTCATTATTGTGAGGACTTGGTTTTCTAGGCGTAACCAAGCAGCTCACCAACCATGAGGATTTTATAGTTTAAAGAAGTTATTTGAGATTATTTGACAAACAACAATTAAAATTCAAGACTCCCCCGCAATTGATTAGTCTCTTGAAAAAAGTCAAAATCCTTGCACAGCTATGCTGATTTGAAAGCTATTGTCAGAACGGCATTTGGTTCTTATGGGGCACGTTGAGCTCTGAAGAGTCAGAAGTAATATGAGAGCTGTTCATCAGAACAAGTAATAGCTCTTTCTAATTGCACATTTCAAATGGCAGATCCTTTAAGGGCATTTTTATGGTACATTTAAAGGGAATATTGGAGAAAGAAGACGGGCACGTGAATAAACATTTCTTACTGCCCATCTGGCCAAGTAACACTGACACATTTCACTGATGATACAAAAGTGACATGAAGCGTTCACAACATTTTTCCTACATGACTTTCTTGTGTAAACCACACTTTCGTCTGAAAGCCTCCACTTTGAAATGTTGTTACCAGCAGTGTTTTTACCTGCAAATGAATTTCCATAATGGTTCCATTGCTTTCTGGGACAGGGAAGTGACCACCAGATGATGTATCTGGCAGGTTTATTCTCTTGCTTGAATGATTCAGAACAACCAAGATGGCAAATATTTCTTGTACATACATGCTTTCATTTAGAATGGCATTAAAGAAAATATGGAACAACAATTTGGAAAGTGTGTCTCACTATGTTATGGGATGGCAAGGGCAGACAGCAGTAGTACTGTATAGATGCTCGGTTCACCCCACAGGGGTTACCAACCGCTCAAGCAAAGTGCGACTTCTGAAAGCACCTAAATGCTGCAGAATAGCTGGAACTGGTAGAACATCCTCCATCTTGTTTTCATGGATTTCCTCTGCCACTTTTTCCTAAGTCCCATCAGGAGAAGCTTCTATTCTCTGCAAGCAATGAGATTATGACATTATAAGAACTAATGAAACATAACTAGCATCATAAATGCAATATTTCTTTGAAGTGTAACCTCCATTCTATGAAGTAATGCATATTCAGCATGGTCAGTAACCATTGATGGCCTTATCCTCTATACATTTACCTTTTTTTAATTATCCAAGTTGGTAAGTTATGCTATGTCTTAATATTGCAAATATCACAAGGCAGGTTCTTGGTATACGAAGAAGTTTAGCCTTTGTATACAATATGTCCTAACCTTCTACCATTTGATCCAGTTAACCATCCATTAAGTTGATCAGGGTTTGACAGAAAGAAACGCTTGTCCCTAGATCTTCTCCATATCATGCAGTGTTTTAGAAATTACTACTGTGCCCATCCTCTTAAATATCTGTTTTCTATTGTAAAAGTCCCCAGCTTTACTTACAGTGTAACTTTACTCATAGGTAAAGAAGTGTATTTTTATTGTATTACTTTAATTTATATGGCTGCCCATCTTGCTGTAGCAACTCATGGTTAACACCATATAAAAACACAATATAAAATAAGCATCAATAAACAACAGTATAAAAAGCCTATAATGGCAGCTGAGGGCAAAACCCAATCAACAATAAAACGTCAACATTTTAAGGGCACCAACTAATCTCCCAATCCCCATGTCTGGGAATACATTCAATTTTTAAAAACTTTCTGCAAAACCGGAAGGTCTGGGCCAGTCTAACCTTGGGAGGAACATTGTTCCAAAGGGCAGACTCTGCGACAGAAAAGGCCTGCTTTCTGGGTCCTGCTAGATGACGCTCTTTAATTAATAGGACCTGAAGCATGCCCTTCCTGTCAAACATAACAGGATGGATAGAAAGAATCAGAGAGAGGCAGTTCCACAAGTTATTCCAGACTTTTGATTCTAGTTATCATTTTCTACATTTTTACATCTCTACGATAATCTTTTGAGGCTTAATTATGAGAATGGGACATCATATTCTAAGTGTGATTGTACTCTAGATTGTATAAAGACATTACAATATTGACAGTTTTAAATTTTTCTTTTAATGGTCTTTAGTACGGAAATTGCCTTTTTTGCAATAACTGTACAACTGTACAGTTAGTGTTTTCACTGTGCGGAACCCCATCCCACCAAGATCTCTTTCTTAGTTAGTCATTGCCAGTTCAGAGCTTGTCAGAGTATAGATGAAATTAGACTGCTTAGCTCTGATACGCATGACGCTACACTTTTTAAAATTCAGCTGTGTTTGCCATTTTAATACTTACTTCTCCAATCTGAAGAGGCCTTTCTGAAGCTATTGTCTTTTAACCATCGTGAATAATCTTGTATTGTTAGTTACAGTAATGCTCCATCTTCTGGATTAGACTAATTATAAAAGCACCAGTTCAGTACTAGAATGCCTGTTCCTATCCTCTCTGGGCATTTTATTTTACTTTCTGCTCTCTTTAACTTTTTTTGTTTCTTCAGCTACTCACTTATCCACAAGAGGACCTCTCCTTTTATCTCATGATCACTATGTTTGTTGAGGAGTCCGAGTTAATAACTGTGTCACAAGGATTTGAAAGTCCAAGTACAGTAATAATGTAATAGTGAAGGAGCTTGTACATCCCAGCAACACTGTGAGAGTGTACAAATATGCACTTATAAGACATATATCCAATTACTATTCTAGAGTTTCAGTTTTGGATGTTTGTGTATTTCCTAAGTATCTCACATTACCATTTTTAACATTTTCTTTGGAAGGGATGGTGAAAAGCAAGTTTACATCTGTCTCAATTTGCCACTTAAAACATATTGTATTTGTACAAGATCTAAATAAAACAAACATTATCTACATGATGGAGGGAAAAGGACTGAAGGAGCATAGCCTATGAAATCAAGTTGTACCTCTGAAGCAAATCAAACAATACCAAATTAATATTTTATGAAGTAGTTCCCTTATTGTTAAGATATTTCCTTTTAATATGTTTTCAAAAACTGGTGGTAATATTAAACAGCACAGAAAGATTGCCAGTTCTGATTCCAGGAAGGAAACCCACACCCAGTTCCTTTCTGAGTAACTCAAAATTTGCCCGTGAAGCTTTCAAAACTAGCTTGGGATAGCCTGCATTATGAGTAACATGCCTCAGTGAGGGACTCACCCATCCAGGATTCTGAACTGGACAATGGCAAGAAGCAGACCTAAGAGTTTGGATTTTGTATCCACTAGAAAGTACGACGACATCTCTTAATAAAGTCCAAATAATAACATAGTTCAATCCGTTCACATTTGCTTCAAGTTTTGTTCTATTTTGAAAATAAAACTTATCCTAGTTTAACTTGATTTCAACTAATAGAAATAGCTGAAGTTTAACAGGGACTATAAACTATGCTGATAGTGGCTGACCAGCTATGTGATTTCAGTACTTTTCAGTACTTTTCTAAACAGGATAGTTTAACCCCATATAAATTGCAAGATTTGTGTATACCCACTTTTAGGTACATAATTAATTTCATTTTGCATTTTTCTCATACAAACAAACAAACAAACAAACAAAAACCTTGCTGGGAATTGATGAAGATGCAATGAAGAATTGTATGTATCCATCTCAGATAAATGCCAGATGGATAATGATGATCGTTTGTTGGTACAAAGCATCTTAAAGACATAGCTTTTCTTGGTGTTTCTGTGCTCACTATGGTGGCAAAGCTCTTCCAAACTCACAGGTTTGACACATTAGCAATTGTGCACTCTGGCTCCTTTTTCTAATCATGCCAGCAAGCTGCTGTAACAGGGTTACATCAAGTTGGAAGGTGAAGCAAGCTGAGAAGGGTCTATAAACAAGCCCAAAGCCGCAAGATGTGCCTATTCCTAATATGCACTCACTGCATGGAAACAACATCCTCCCATCCAACACAGGGATACAGTGAAATTGCTTACAATTGCAAGCCCCCAGTCATGATAACTGTGGGATCTGCATGGCATTCACAAGTACCTGGTTTGCTCTTTGTTGGAAATACCTCAACAGAGTTTAGCAGGACACAGGAGTTATATTGCCATTCTAAAAAAGATTACTGTGTGATAAACAAAGTTGTTCAGCGTGATGAACCAAGTTGCTCAGATCATCACTGAATCTTGAAGAAACATGGATTCTGAGGCAGAAAGCTTTAAATAAAAGGGCAGGCTCTAGTTTAGATTATCCTTGAAAGCTTTCAGGAAAGGAAACTCCACAACAGTTTATTGCATGACTGAATCTGTGCTTAGGAAGTGTTCACAATGTTCGACCTAAATATATGTTGGCTTGGATTCAGAGTTTACAGGATACTGAAGGAGGGGAGGGATAATATTTGCAAATTCCTCTTTTCCTCTGAAAAATTGCTCCGGAGAGTTGAAGGACCTTCAAGAATAGTTTAGAAGGTGACATGATGGGCTCCAGGACAGGAGGATAAATTAAAATTATCTTATTTTCCAGTGGAAGCTGGTTCCTAGTCCCTCGGGGCTCTTTCTCATGGCCACATTTATGTGCTTTCCTCCCGTCCTTGAATTGGGAGGAAAGTATATTGGCATTAATAGCATTGACCCCACAGCCTACCATTACGGCACCTCCACTATGAGGCCAGGCAGTGTTGCTGCCCCCACATAATGTAATCCTGGGCAGTTTCAGGGCAGTGGCTGGTAGATTCCCTGCTGCCCATCCCTTTCCCATTCAGTGTCACCTACACTGGGAAGTCCAACCACCAACTGCTCCTTGAACATGTGGCCAGGTGAGGTCAGGGATTTAAGCCTTAATTTTTATATTCATCTAGTTAACCTTAATTTTTTGTTATTTACTGCATGCTTCTTCTGACAAAACTATCAATCTTTTTTAGAGTTTGGAAATAGTTTTTTTGAGAGATGCTTGTCTCTGGCACCATAGCTGGAGAAACAGCAGTAACATGACACCAGACAGCCATGAACAGCAGAGGCATATCCTCACTCAGACACCAAGCAATAACACCACCACCAATGGATTATGAGGGCAGCTTTGAGTTTTCAAACACTTTTGATTATATCAGTAAAAAAGCATCTGCTCTCCCTTAAATAAAGGCTTGATTAATTGTTTCAGTAGGGTGTTGTGGGAGCCAAATAGGTTATTCATACGAAGGACCAGAAGGCTTTTGTGGTAAGCCTAGAAAAAAAGGGTTTTTGAATAGTCCATTCTTAACCCATTTTTAAAAATAAATGATCCAAGTTGTTTTGGGCTTTATAACTTAAATGGAATCTTGACAGCTGACTGAGAAGTTACATAAAGGTCATGCAAAGCTAGAATTTTGGAAGACATTATTAAAGGTAAGTATTAGAATCTTCCCTTAATTAATCAATTTGCAGCTCCTGAATCATGATTGAAAGAGGTTCATTAAGGCCTTAAGTCTGCTCCTTATCTATCCATCAAGCCAGCCTTGAGCAGAAATAAACTGTGTTAGAATACTACTGAACCTTTCTTAATTTAGATTTTATTTTGAATTTCAAGCCTCATGGAGCAGCCCACTTATTCACCAAACTAGACTGCCTTTCCATGCTTCCTGATTCAAGCCAAGGTTAGGAACCAGAGAACAAAAGAGGGACTTTTGGCCAAAGTTACCGCCTTTCTGATCCAAAGTGAATTTTTACTCTTCTGACATGACTTGCATAAAGATTTAAGTTCAGGATAGCAAGGGTTAACAGGGTTGGCAAAAAGGTGACTATCAGGCAATAGATTAGGACCATGACTGATACACAATTTGTATGTATATTGTAGATTGTATTGTGGATTAGGACCATATGTGATATACAACTTGCATGGTCCTAATCTAAGGCAATATAATCCTTGGAACTCTTTCAAAGATTAAATTTATCACATTTCTTTCTGTTTATTTATGATATACCCCACACAGATTCACAATACACTTAATGAAGCGCAACGGGCTTTAAAAGGTACTGTATTTATTAATAAAATCCAGACAACTTGGCTTCTGCTTTGACAGCCGAAATATTAAACGCATCTCCCAATATGTACCATTCAAATGAAATATATACTTACAGAATGTCTGTTCTCCTCAGTATCTGAAAATCATAAGATATAGATTAAAAATTACCACTCACATCAGTTTAGTGGACAAATGTACACTCAAGCACTCTAGGATTTGACTCCTTTCAATGACTCGTTACTTATATTTATCTCACATTTCAAGGTGAGGTTTCCAGAGTCACTGCTTAAATAAGCCCCTTTCATTTTTCAGATGAAAGAAAAGTGAGGTCTAATTGTTTTGACAACAGCATAACATTTATTTATTGGGAGCATAGAACATTTTTTGATGAATCAACCCTTCCGATGAATTTCAGAAATCAAGAAAAATTTGGTCAAAGCTTTCTGATTTGGTGACCATTTGAATCCCTTTTGCTGCAGTCTGGCATAAACCCGAGCAATTTATCCCATTGAACAAAGGAGGATTTACTTTCAAATCAATACATGTGAGGCTAAAAAGCAAAATATACTCGAGCAATTCATGTGCATGTCCACTTCATAGTATCTGCACAGAAAGCAAAAAAGGAAATGGCCACAAAACTGGTGAATTTTTCAAGGGCAACCCTTAAGCAACAGTAATTCCAGCTACCTCTTGGTAGCATTAATACTACTGGCCATACTTGAGAAATGATAATTAACATCATTTGCCGAAAGAGGCATATGACATATCTGATGCATGAACTAGATGTGAATCTTGTGACGATATAAGTCCCCAGGGGATCAGAGAATTACACTTTAATAATGCCACATTCTGAGGAAAGCAAGCAACATCAAACTAGAGAGTCTGTCTTCACCTCTAAAACTCATGCCATGCAGTCCTGTTGCTTCCCACAATCCTCACGTACATTATCTACACAAAACTGACTCAGTGGAAACTTCCCTACTTCTCTGAGGTGTCCTAGAACATAATCACATAGAATGGCTAACATTTGTTGACAGAATTTTCAGCATCCTCATCAAATTATAGTTCTCAAGACTTTTAGAAGGAAACCATGATGGAACTGAGTGACTGATTAATTTATATTAATGTGATACTACTTTTGGTATTTATTTTACCATCCCTTTAAAAGAGACAAAACTTCAAACAACCTGTCAGCCCTACAAAGTAGACCAGACTAAGCAACAAATGCCATAAGATCAGGACTACTTTTACTGGAACAACTATAGTAACAGAACCTTGCAAGTCTGAATGTGCTTCCCCTTCCCTCACTTTGTGTGAACTAGGGAGAGGCCCGTCTTGAGATGCTTTCTCAAGTTATTTTCTTGGCAAGGGCTCAATCCCCTCTTATCTGACTGTTGCCTTGGTAATGGGCCTTCCTCCTGTCCTTCAAGGCTATTCCCTGTACCCTCTATATAACTCTTCCACAAAATTCATGGTCCACATTAGTTCACTTGTCGGTCATGGAAACTCAGTGAATGGCTTTTGATTAGTCTCCCTCAGTCCACAGACCACAGAAGATGGTTGTTGCAGGGAAAAAGAAGAAAGAAATGCTATGCATGTGTCAGCCCTTTGAGGTAGACCAAGTTAGAAAACAGACTTCACAAGAATGCTGGAACTCTACTTTATTGATCTAATCTATAGTAACAACATCTGAAAACTCAATTGCACTTTTCCTTCTCTCCCTGTTATACCCCAGAGAATCAAGGCAGAATACATTTGTGTTTCTTTCTAATGCTTTCTTCCTTTCCCAGGCTTATAACATGTGTTGGTAACTGTCATCCCATAGTTTCTCCCAGGTCATCTCTGTGGCTCTCCGCAGCACGCTGCCTTAAGCTTCTGGGGAAAGGTGGATATAAACCTAAAGAATAAGGAAGCAAGTGTTTTCCTCACCTCTCACCCAAACTGGCTCTGCAGTACCTGCTAAAGTTAGAAATCCCCTGCTTGATATTGATCCCAGGCTCTCCTCCAATTGTTTATTCAGCAAAATAGGTTTCTTGTACAAAGCTAAGCCTGGCAGGAAAAACCAGATGGAGGACGTGGCTCAACCTTTTGTTCAGCTTCTCTAATTTGATGAGTTTGACTTCACCTTCCATAACCCCCAGCCAACACGGTCTTGACTAACAAGACAAACAGAAAATATGGAAAACACTTGTGATTTTTGTATCGGAGGTAAACCTGAGAACAATAATCCCCTTCAACCTGTTAAGATCAAAGAGCCATTTGAAATAACATATCTGAAATAAATTATCCAAGTCTCATGTAGTATGCTAGCTATTGTCCTGCCAGGAAGGAGGAAATTGTAAATTTTGTATATTTCCAGAGCTCCAAATGAAAGGTTATTTGTTAATTATATGGGGGGTGGAGAATTGCAGAAAAACAGCGGATATCCCATGTTTTAGTCACCCTAAATCTGTCTGGGTGGCCAGCAATATTTTATGACTAAGTCTAACCTGATTTTTTATCTGCAATATAATCTTCTATGTTAATACTCTTCAGATTTTGATAAAGCAATACAGCTAAATTGTTTCATCTCCAACATGTGGCTTTAAATCCCTTTACATCTTCTTTCCTTAATGGAGTACCCCCAGATGTGATAAGGCTATACCTCCTAGTATTACCACATCCCATTAGCTGGTTATCCTAGTTATTACTGCACTAGATATTTAGAATCTAATGCTTATCATTCATTCATTTGCTCATTCTGTGTTCATGAAAAATTTGGACACTGTTTCATTCTAGAGATTTCTGTCTTGTCCATCCAGCTTTTTCAGGCCTAGTTCAACCTAGTTCAGGCCTAATTCCAAGTAGTGAAATTTCAGGGCTTGTTCTTCTTGAATTAGTAGATTCTTCCTCATCTCTTCCTGTTGTCTCATGTGGAAATACCCAAAATGTCTTTTAATTAAGCTCTCCCAGACATTTTGCTTCCCATGTATATCAACATGCAGCCTAAGAATTGGGTCATGCCACTTAACTCTGTCCCCAATGTAGCATGTGCCCCTTAGCCCAATCCACAGCTATCTACTTGTATAGCCCAAATTTCTGGAGAAAGGCAACTTCCATATGCACAGGTGGAGGCGTGGAGGTTTCCAATATGGCCCAGAACCTGACAGCACAGGGTTTAAGACTGCATGGAATCAGCTGTATATTCAAACGTATTGTCGAAGGCTTTCACGGCCGGCATACGATGGCTGGTGTGGGTCTTCCGGGCTGTGTGGCTGTGTATATTCAAACACTGAAAAAAATTGCAGTTTGTGGAGGTGCCTGTGGGAATGGATATACAGTATGACCCAGCAACGTTAAAAATGGAGCTAGCTGGCATTGCCCTGCTCCTGGCTTGCATGTTCCCATTTGCAATAAGTATCCTACCTGAATAGAGAGAGTATAATTTCCCATTCCTTTAAGAAAAGAGAGCTCTAATTGCTTGCCAAGGAAATTGCTATTAATTTCTCAATGTATAAAAAGTCAATTTTGTCATTTTTAATCATAAAAGTAAAATTAAAAATAACAGGGAATTAGCATCCTTGCTTGGAGGAATAGCAAATGACTAATGAAAGACCAGTACAAGGAAACCAAAGCTTCTGATTGAATTAACATGAACAGTGAATAGTAGAATATCTGCAATAGAAAGAACTTTTTTTTTTTTTGGTCTGCGCTCAGTCATTGCTGACCCTGCAGTGACTGCTTGGACGAGTCCTTGCAGTTTTCA